GGGAGGTGAGACTGGATCCTGGTGATCACTGGACGAAGCACCAGCTTCATGTCTACCCAGACCAGCCGCTCTCAAAGACCGTCTCATCATTTCCCGCAGTCTCAAACTAAAAAGATGGGCAGAATCAGAACTCACTAGTATACCTAATTGTAATTCACAGACGCACAGAACTTCTCAGCTGAGAAGATCAAAATATGTTCTATAAGCAAACACTCCAGGAAAAGGAAATGAAGCACAAATGACAATTTTGGAATCACAGAGTAAGTCAGTGAGGAGTAGAAATAGATCAGGAGGGTTTTGCCACCCAGTTCAGCACTAAAGCCACTATGTTAAGCTCCCACACAAACTTAAGCACAGCGAACAAAAGCTGCCATCAAGTCAGATTAGAAAATAAATTTTATCCTTTCACACAGTTAACAGCTGAACATTGAAACAACAACAACAAAGAATTATTTCTGCCCTCTGCTTATAATCAGGAAGAGTAAAGTAAAATAATGGCTATCAGCAGACACACTGATAAATACAAAACCAGTATTTGACTCAGTATGAAATATCTTGGCAAATACAGACATTCACTAAACACTTTGCCTATAATCTCAAAAGCCATTCAATGAACATGCAAACTTTAAGTAGCTTTAAAATGAATACCAATTTAGATTATTTTTTTTCACATGAAAAAAGTGTCAGTGTTGGTTGTTTGGTTGTCGATCCCAACAGTACAATTTGAGTCCGAGGGAAATTAGTAAATGAAAGTGGAATTTGCAAAATGTGTTCCTAGAGTAATGTTCGGGCATTTATTCTTCCCTTGCCCTGAAAACAAACCAAATCATAAGTGCATGCATCTCACTAAAAAAAAAAACAAATGATCACCAATACCAAACTCCTTAAGGGAACGAATGACCACAAAAAAAAAAAAAAATAATAATAAAATAAATAAATAAATAAAAATCTGTATTTGACCTTTAAATTAAAGCTTACAAGGTTACAAAACTGACACATTAAGAATTAACACTAATTAAGAGAAAGCACATTAGGCAAATCTCTTAAACTACTTTCAGAGCTTCTAAATGGACAAAGAGTAAAATACTCCATTATAGGGCCAGGCAACACCTAAGGGGCTTCATTCTCCCATACAGATCTATTCTCAAAGACATGACATTGCTGGTCTAAAGGATTTAACACCTAAGATCATGATATACCTATAAATGAGCAAATTAGAAAAATGGATTCATGTTTAAATCTCTAATTCATTTTTATCCTGGGGTAAATGTAAATTTCCCCCCAATATCAATACATTATCAATTTTGAGAGAGGGAAGAAAAAATCTAAATCTTTTACAAAATTTTTTCAGAAGCTGTTTTCATAAGGCTGATGCTTGGTGATGTACTTTTTGGAACATTCTGATTCTCTGCAAAGTAAAATGTCATGATTCAACTAGTATTAGTTACAATATTTAGTATTAAATCACTGTCTTCTCTCTCCTGATTTGAAAGTTAAAAGTTTATGGATTTTTATATATAGAAGGGGAACAGGGCAGAGTGACTATTAGTCAAGGTCACTTCCCCGTGCGAAGATACCACCTACAAAGAGAGGCAAGGTCCTTACCAGTAACGCCACACACCAGGGTGACTATTCACATTGTGATACTCCTCTAGAATTGTATTTTAGCTCAACATGGACACTTGTACCCTATAATGTCTTACTCAAAACACAGAGAATAATCCCCCCAAACTGGGAGATACTTCAAATGACCTGAAAGTAAATGTCTGCTCCTGTTATGTCAAGAGGAATGTTTTTACATCAGGATCACACCAGCTGAGCCTGGTGTGCACAGTATATGAGTAAAGGGTAGTCAGATGTGAGGAGGAGGGGGTAGTGGCAAACTAAAGGCACACGTTGACTAAAGACACTGAAATTCTAATGAAAACAGTTTTTAATGTTGTATATGCCGAGAGAAACATACATGGCTATGCTCCAACCCCTGGTTTTTAGAGTGAATTTAGAATAACTGAAAATAAACTGAGACCATAGTCTCATCTTGAACTTGCAAACCCCCCAACTCTGTTGTGGTGGCAGAGTCAATTCAGTATTAAAGAGGGGCCATTCCTTGTTTGTTTGTTTTTTAAAAATTGTCTTTAATCTTTTTTCTTCATTTGGTCTTGGGAACATTTTTAAGTATAATGCCCAGCTCCTCATATAGATCTTTTATTTTTATTTTTTTTAAAAGAAAAACACCAAAAACCAAAACAAAACAAAAAACAAAAAAAGAAAATTATTCTTCAAGATGTTGTACACAATTCATGAAGATTCACCTGTATCCTCAGTGGCTGAGGACAATACTGAGGAGATACCACCTTGGCTGCTAAGATTCAGAGTTTTGACATTTCTTCGTATAGGCTTGCCTGGAGTCATCGTATTTTCTGACAATTTGGAAGAATTCAAGGATGATGTAATTTCCTCTTTGTAAGCACGTTATATCCATGCTACAGAAGCTTTAGAATCCAGTCATGTTCAAACACACCACTGTGACAAAAAAGCGAAGGTCATGTGTCTTCCAGATTAACAATCTCTAGAGTAAATACACCTGAAATCAGATGCATCAATCAAGCTCTCCACTAAATCTGACCTTTGTACTCAGGAACTATTGAGTCACACAACAAAACTTCTGGGTCAAATCATTGAAGGCATTTAACAGTACTTCAATATGGCAACTGTATCAGTTTTGAGCTTACAGCTCATGAATCCCAGCCTGCATACTCATCAAGGGGCATCGCCTAGAAAATCCACTGGAGACTAGAGGAGGGTTTCACTTGAATGAAGCAGAGTCTGTGGACTTCCTACTGCTCGGCGTGGATATTAAGACTCCTGTGCTTTCATCTGTTCAGCCGGCAGCCCTGAGTTTGAACTGGTTAAGTGCACTGCAGTGAAATCTTCGGCAAATTCCTCAAAGGAGCTTACTCTGCAAATTATTTCTGTGAGCAACACGTCACCCACTCTTGAAGCTCCTTTTAGTCTTTGCCTTCAAAATAATCCTTACATGAAAAAAGGTGGTAGCACTGGCATTGGACCAATCATATCAGAGAGTCCAACTTGATCTGCATCTGTGTTTTCCCTGAGGAAGTAAAAAACCTGAAATAATGCAAACACTAATTTTTTAAAGAAAAAATTAAGTTGTTTTCCACTTTAGACCACTTTCTTTGCCTACCATAGTCCTAAATAAATGTGGTTATGGTCTGGCACAGGTTACATAATGGCGTTGTACTGCTTTAAGTTACCATCTGGTCACCTGCAGGGATTCGATAAATCTTACTCGGGATGTTTCTGAACCTGGGAAACTACCAACTTTCTAACTTTCCTGGTTCCAATATAAAGATAGCCATTTTTAAAGAAAAAGTTGTCTATGGAGCTGAAAACAGGCAAAGGAACACCTCATAAGTTTTCATCTATTGTTTTAGCACACTGTGAGCAGTGCTTCCATTTAAGAGCTGTTAATTAATTCTGACTTTACTGCATTTAGAATAAATGGACTTCTTCCTATAGAAAAAAATATCCTGAAAGCATATCCTCAAGTCTTTGAGCATTCTTGATCCATTAAAAAAAGAACAAAACTATTCCATTTCAAACATGTTTTAAAAGTCTGCTCATCCCACAACTGAGCCTGAAAAATTTAAATACCAAGTATTTAGAAAATATACATTGTAGTAACCTAAATAAACCACTTGAAAATGAAAGATGGTGGTCCTTTTCAACTATTTTATCACCTGTTTTCCACTGAAAGAAAATGGCTTCCTAGAAAGCAAGAATGATGAATTTAGAAAACAATCGAAGAATTACATTTGAAGTACTTGCTAAATCTCAAATTTATGATGTATCCTAGCTAGGTCCTGTTGCTCTATACTTAAACTCATGTCTATTCTTAAATATTCTTCTGCGAAAGGGTGTTCTTTTCCCTACCAAAGGAGGAATAAAAACAAAAAGAACCAATTCATGCATATGATAGGCAAGAGATACACTTCTTCCTGAACTTGAATTAGTTTTGTTCTCCAATTAAACTCTCCTGGCAAAAAATCACATTACCTTCGGCTACTTGATGATCCAGCCCGATTACCTGGGCCATTACTTGAAACAACTGATATTGCATTTGCAATGGCCTCAACAGCAGAAAGCCTTTCTGCAAATGTATTTCTTTCTGAGCGCTCTGCTTCTGAAACAGAAGAAAAAAACCTAGCATCAATTTCACCTTCAACAATAACTAAGAAATTGTGTGTATACAGGCATCTAGGTGCTGGCAAATATAATTCTAATGCTGCAATGCACATATCAGAAATATACCATCATTTCTCCTCCTTAGAAGCAAAGACAAAGGGAACTATGATCCTTAATATGGGAATGATTTCTTAGTCTCATATAACTTTTCAATAGCCAAAGACTGAAAGTAAGATCATTAACAAGTAGATGGAAATTTAAGTTTCACTACCAAAAAAAGAAAAAGTTTTCTTCCATTAAGACTTAAAATCTCAGAAATCCAATGGAGGGTTGCTAAAGTCTAACGGATACACTTTAAGATAGTAAACCCACTCCCACCCCAAGTTTATAATGCTTTAGTGATTCAATAATGATTAAAGTCAGAAACCTGCAAACCTCTATTCAAAAAAATATACCTATCAGAACGCTAACCAAAGTGATTAATTGCAATTTAGGCTTCTCATGTTAACCCCTTTGTTTAGACAATTAAAATTTTTCTCTTGAAAGGCCTATTCGTTTTCTAAAACATTTTGTAACTAATTTGGCCGTCTGTCCGTCCCGGCCCCCCAACCCCCACATTCCAAAACCTGGGATCAAAGTTGCCACATTATCACTCGGCTTTGCTATGTAAGTTAAGTAATTCCCATAGTAATTGAAGTCATTTAAAACTTTAAGTCCTTCTTTTCGCTGACCCATGAACAAGGCCAGAATGAGGGGAAGTGACCTCCTGTACAGTTAAAAATCTACGTATGATTTACTGCTGACCCTGTCTTCAACCATACAGGTTTGAATCATGGAGGTCACTTCCACATGAATTCTAATTTTTCCTGTTGCTAAGGCGGTAAACTCACCGACACAAACCATCTCCTGAGCAGTTCTGATTAACACCTGAGCTAATAACAACAGAAAAAGGAAAAATAAACCCCAAACAAAAAATAACAAGCCTATGTCTAAGTGGGTACACAGAGTTAACCATGTGATGGGTCAAGTATTTAAGTGTGCATGTGAAATGAGTTCAAAACAAAACAAAAAAGGAAAATACATTAATGCAAAGCTTCATCTCCTGTGTGATAGAACCATCCGGACCAGAGGGGGCAGGCATCAATTCACGAGTCAAAATTCCAAGATTTTACAAGACAAAATAGGTGCACACTTAAACCCAAAATCTCTTTATAGTCATTTGTTTTCTTTTCCAATAAATGTTTTCTTTAAGTTGAAAACAATATTGGTAAGAAAGACTTTGTTATATTTCTTAATCTCACCCTCTTCTTCTTTAGTTTCCTTATTGCTGGTTGGAAAGCACACTGATACACATGCATGCAAAATATTTCTATTTCCATTACATCTATGACTGATGAATGTCTGTAGCATCTGTAGATTCTGCTCTAAAACGACCGCTTGCTCAAGATTCATGAGATACTGTCGACAGGCTTCGTAGTCACAGCGTAGAATGTGCTGCATTAGTGTTTGTTTCTGTACATGGATAAGAGAAAATTAACAAATAAAAAATCTTCAATAATTTGGATAGAAGATTACGTATGTCAAAATTAGCCAGCATTATAGGTCATCAGTTCTGCAAAAGCATTCACTCAATGCAGCGGAAGAGGTGGATGTAAAGCACCCTCGTAAAGTGTGTGGTAGGAGCCTTGGTAGTGCAGGGGGCTAAAGTGTTTGGCTGTTTACCAGAAGACTGACTAACTGAACCCACCAGCTAAGCCATGCGGAGAAGGAGTCTGTTTTTGTAAAGATTTACAAGCTTGGAAACATTATGGGGCAGAGTTCTACTCTGTTCTCTAGAGTCACTGCCAAGTCCGAGTCACCTTGAAGGCGGTAGGTTTAGTTGATTTGGAAACCGAGGATATAACCAGGAGGAAAATAAATGAGTTTTCTATAGAAAACTAGTAAACAGTTTGCACTTATATAAGGACTCAATTCTGCTGTTTTGACATGAAACAGTCATAGTTAATGCATAAATGAATGTGAGTGGCCAGATTTCTCTCTCAGGAATTATTCTGCAATCCTACATTTACATTGTATGTTCTATGTCCATGCAGAATACACAGAATTACACTGCTAATCAATCAATCAATCAATCAGGAAAGGATATACACTTTATTCCAGAGTTACTCTCACTCTCTTATACTCTTAAAGTGGTCATGTTACTTGTGCTCTCTGAAAACCAAAAGTTTCAACTCCCCAGAAATGACAAAAGGTACAAAAGTGGTAGCTAATCCAAGATATATATGGTAATAAAGTGCTCATAGAACATTTCTTTACAACTGAGAATAGCAAGATCAAATGGTGTTATTTTCAAATGTAAAACTATAGTTTGCATTTATAGACTGGGTATAAAGCCATTAGTTGTAGAAAACAAATTGGTTTCTTTTAACTAGAACTAGGAGCTAGAAGAAAGCAAGTGGGCAAGTGTGTAGGAGTTAAAAGAGAGACAGAAGAATGCAGTTGAACAACTTGTCACCTCCCCCTCAAAAGTGTCTAAATAGATTCTCCTTTCTCCCAGCCTTAAGGGGTCTAATAGCCAAAAATAAATGGCATTTTTTTAAAAAGCCATTTTCAATACCTTCCATATCTATAATAAACTGTTTTGATTATGGCACTAAGGCCCTGAAGAGACCCCATAACAAGCAAACTCCAGCTGAAGAATAGATGGTGAACCTAAGACTCATGAAATATATACATTAATCACTGTATTAAAGAGACTAGATCGGAATCTCTTCAAAGAACAGAAAACATAGTACTTACAAAGTCAACTAAAATTCAAGCTAGTTCTTGGTGTACTTTTGTGATATAGGATGTTTTCAAATCATCAGCCTGTCATTTGGCTGGAATCAGGCTCTCAGCTCCAATTAACAGATGAGTTCTCAGACGAGATACGTGTTTGATACAAGAAAGCTTATTCCACATCACCAGCTGGGTGACTGGTAGACACCAATGAACTGGCCGACCTAACCTGTCTACATCCACACTTGCCGCAAGCCTAGTATTCTCAGCACAGAGCAGTGATTCTTTTAAATGTTAAGTCAAAGGAGACCGGTTTCTGCTCATGTTGCACCAGTGGTTTGCAATGGTGTTGCCTCCACATCTAACAAACCTCTCCAACATGTGTAAAGTTAAACCATATCCTATTTTTTTTAATTCTTCCTGCATTTCTTCTCTACAATCAGTGCTATCTAAACCAGATGCATGGGTTACAACTCTTTCCTCTCACTTATTACCGACATCAGTCACCAAGCCCTACACATTCTAATCCATCACCTCTTCAAACAAATATGAAAGCCAACTTTGATTACCATCTAATTACACAAGCCTTTTTTATCTGGTCTTTAAAATTAAATTCTCCACCTAGAAATCTCTCCTCCACTTCACTGATCACCTTTAGAGGAAAAAAAATTATACAATCTATACTTTCATTAGCTTTTCATCATAGCTTTTAGAGAAGAGTTTTAGCCCCTCAGGTTAGCGTAAAAGGCACCCTTAGTGCCTCTTTCCGAGATCATCCCAGGCCCCGATGAGACCGACATTCCAGCTACATCCAGAGAGTACACAGAGTCTCTCCAATACATCATATAGATTCACAAAGGCTTTTGGTAGTAACTGGGAAACTCTCTCAATATCTATGAGTAAAGGACCCATATCTAATCAATAAAAACTGTTCTAGCATCACTCTCAAAGAGCAGCCTTTCCTCGAATCACAGACTGAGATCCCTTCTCTCTGTTCTCCTGCAATAGTACATACTCTTTTAATTATACTAAATAGCCATAATATATTTACTTATCTTGTCCTAATAAACTATTAGCTCCTACAGGAGAGGGGACAATGGATGACAAATTCAATACTGTTTCCCTAAATTCTTACAAGTAGCTTTCTCAACTATAATGTCTACTGATTAAAAAGGTTACATTACCTCTACAGCCATGATGATAATAGCAGCTTTCTTTTTGATTGTTGAGTTGGCAGGAAGATTTACTAAAGAATGTACACCCATGCCAAGACTACTGATGGGTGGAAGATCGAGCCAGTCAGGATCCCGTATTCCTCCCATGCAATCTTTGGCCATTGGGTAGATGGTACCATTTCCATCTCGAAGAATAATAGGAGACTCCTAAAACGGATGACAAATAATAAGGTTCATTTCCCAATCAAAGATGCTTCTAAGGTTGCGTATAATAAGTACGTTTATTCTCAAACCGATTATGACGAAACAAGGATTCCAGCAATAAAAGATGTTCAAGTGCCTAAATTAAGAGCCTGACATTAAGCATCACCAAAATGCCCTTGCTGGCATCTAATCTTTCAGAAATAAAGATGAGCGACCATACCTGCCCAGCAGTGAAAATGGCCACATTCCTCTCATTCTGACCAAGGAAAGCAATGCTGCTTGTAGGAAAATTATTCTCCTGTTCTGCTTTTCCTGTAGCTAGATCAAAGATACAATACCGCACCCAAGTTCCAGTCTTTAAAACAGCATGCACACCTTCAGAAGTAAAGAAAAACTTGTTACATATCTTTAGTAAATAGAAAGAAAACTTGTTATATGTCTTTAGTAATCTTTAAAAAGAACCCACCAAATTCTGACACCTGTGGCTTCATGTATAATTCAACTAAATATACTTCATTCCATAACAAAACATACAGGAGACAAAAATGTTCCACCAAATCATTTTACCCTTATTCCCATTAGTGGTAAAAGTATTAATAACATGTAGAATATACTAGTAAGAAGTTACTCAAAGGGAGCTTGGGTGCCCTAGAGGCAAGAAGCTGCACCACATTCCCAGAGGTACGTGGTTCAAATCCACCAGATGCTCTGCTGGAGAAGAAGGGGCAATCTCCTCCTGTACCAGTCAGATCTGATTTGATGATACACACACAAAAAGTAATAATAAAATAAAAGAAGTTACTCAGAAAGTATTAAAATTTTGTACCTTTAGAATCTACATTCACTGCTAATATTTCTGTTTTTTCAGGTATACACAGTTTTTTAGGAGTCCTCTGGAAACAATCTGGGACTTTTGGTGTTCCACCAGTTTTGACAACCTACATAATACAAAACATATTTTGTTCTGAAATTCTCATATTTAAGGAGTCAATCGCCAAATTCACCTGCCAAATGATTCTTTGACACCTACCTGCAGTTCGTCTATTCTAAGCAGTCTACAGTCTTGCAGGAGAGAAGAAGGGTCAGCATCTGAGCCAGCATTGCTCTGGCAATTTGTATTACTGGATGTTCCTGGAAACTTCACAGCAACATAGGCACCATCCACTTTTAGCACCTACAAGTTCAATTAATTAGTGTAAACAATATGTAGATTTCTATTCATTGAACTAGTTTAACACTGAGAAAAGAGACAAATGATATTTAACTGGATTTCTTAAGGTTTTGCATATACTAAGCATGTTGTAAAACAAAATATTTACCAAAGTTTTCCTGTTGACTTAAACTAAGGCTTACTTTCTAGAAAAAAGCTGACTTACAGAGGCAGCCATTACTCCATACATGCTTACTAATCAACTGAAAAGCTTTATGTACAACCCATGAAAGCCCTCTTCTCTCCTTATTGTAACAGTACAGGACAAAAGGGCTTTCCTGATGATGGTAACGTTCTTAACTGGCCCCTATGAAAGCCACTGGCCGTTACACAGGGAGGTTTGGTGGCACAGTGTATAGTGCGGTGTGCTGCTAACCACAAGGCCAACTGCTGCACTGAGCGAGGAGTAGAGTCTCCTTTAGTTATGATTTACAGCTTGAGAAACCAGACAATCACTATGACTTGCAAGTGAACAGACGGCAGCGAGTTTGAGTTTCTGAGCCATTAAGAGGCTACTTGTCACTTAATGAAATTAAGGGGACCAAAGATGTTTTCTTTTAGTACTATTTAATTTTAGTATAAATCTTAATAACCAACACACAGCTGTTAGTTACTATACTGGACAGTACAGCTTCAAGAGCCAGCAGTGCACTGGTGGAAAACCATAGGCCTTGAACCCGAATGCTCGAGCCCTCCCTCTGATACTATCTATTTGAACTCAGAGGAAAATTATTTCTCATAACCAGATAAATTTTATGAGAAAATTCTTATAAACTGCAGAACACTGTATGTCTACTCTGTCTTAAAGCACAAATTTAAAAAGTATCTTTCAAGAAAACCTTTACTCTGGAAATACTCTATAGTTCTAGATCTATTTTGGGAGTTTGGGGGAAGGTAGTGAAATTAACTGTTTCTTAGACAGTAAGACCATCTTGAGGAAGTGGGGGGAAGAAGGAAGTGGAAGGTGACTTCAAGAAAAGCATTTCAATCTGGGCTGTGAAGGTGACTTCAATTAGACCCTCTAACAGATGAAGTCATCAAGAATTGGGAGTCAGCAGAAAGAAAACCGGTGGGTATGTGTTCCAAAGAATTAACTGTATTAAACACTAATGTATCTTTTGATAACTTTTCTACAAATCCATGATTATTAAAATAAAATGCTGATCAAAAAAGGAGCATATTACAAAAGTTCCACGTCAGGCAATGATTATTAAATCATCTGTCCGTCCCCACCCCATCCAGGGCACAGGAGACCGTATTAAGAACTGAGGAGATTCTAAAAGTGAGAGCCATGGACAGAAGGCTGCTGGCCACTCACCACCTCTGAGCTCTTGGAGCACTGTTATCATTAGAGTTCTGTCAGGACGGAGTATTAACTATTGTGCACAAACCTTGCCAACAGGAACATTCTTAACATCTTCCACAAAAACGACTTCCCTAAGAGACCACTGCTCTTCGTTCACCTTTTCCTCTTCTTTCGGGGCAGGGGTTGACCGTCGTCGTTCTTAGACAACAACAAAATGGTAAGTACCAAAAAGAAAATGTAAAAGAGACTTTATAGCTTTCATCTAAATACACGAAAAAGAGCATTTTCACAGGGATACATAACTGAGGTTTCTTTAAAAAAACTTTATTTCCGGGCTTTATGAACTGAGGTTTTAATGACTTTTAACTCAATTCATGGTGAAGAACAGAACTGATGCCTAACTGAAACAGTAGTAACACTACCACAAACTGCAAAAGGGGGGGAACTCATTGGGCTCTTCAAAATTAGAGCTACTGACTAACATTTATAAAAAAGGACATTCTTGATGCTCTTATGGAATTCTAACTTCAATTTCTTGACTTACAAAGCAACAACAGGCAATCTTTAGGATAAGAATGAGTCCCATTCCTAACTGTTGTCTCTAATGGGAATTTGTAGGAAGGACAGAACAGGTGCACACGTTCTGATTTAGCCTTAGTTTAATGGTGAGGGGAACATGGTCTGAAGCCATTTTCCGTATTTTTAAGAGCTGCACGTGCAGAAAGAGTGTTCTGAACAGGAGGTGTTCAGGGAGAGACAATTTACGTAACATTAAAAGGCAAATATGAGTCGTCTGTAAGTAAGATCTGTAAACAGGGTGTTCATAACCTAGGCATTGCTTATAGAATTGTAAAATAAATTTTTAGAAGCTTCTAAAAACGATGGTAAATTCAAGCTCACAATTTTGATAAAATCTCAATAAACTTGTACCAAGTCATAAAACAACACACAATAAAGGGAAATTATATTCTAGTTGGAGGTAAAAAATTGTAATTACAAATAAAAAGAAAAATCCGATTCCTCTAAAGAGTGAACAGAGTCAGTGGTGTGAATATTATTTTTCCACTTAAAAAAGGTGTCACAAGACAACTCAGACTAGTTGAACTCTGCTACCCAAGATGTGACTGTGACCAGTGTGGCATTACACATAAAACTTACTATACGGCATCGACGCACTGCTGGCGATGGAGGACGCGTCACTGCACGTGGATGCTGGAGACGGTGGGGGGCCCATTTCCGTTTTGACTGGTTCCTGCTTATTTTCAGGCCTATAATAAGAAACCATAATGTCCTTATAATTGGGAAAATAAACTATTTTTTTAAAAAAAATAGTTTGTCAATGGTTTCTTTTTTAAAGCTCAACTTTCTTTGATGCTCTTTATACAGCTAACCTCCTTTGATTATCCCATTCAGACACAGGATCAACAAGGAACTGCTACATAAAGACAAGTAAGGACATAGTACGTACTTAGTAGCTTCAGTCGTTTTGCTAGCTTTTTCCATGCTTTTTAAGCTCTCAGGAGATCTAAGTTGAAATCGACAGCTATCATTCATATTCCAAACAGACTCCATCAAGACACCAACTTTAGGAATGCCAGCACTAATTGAAAATGCAACTGCTCCAGCATGGTAAAGAGGATTGTTTCTTAAGCATACCTAGCAAGTAAAGAAAATCATTACCAAGATGACAGGGATTTACGCAGGTGCCATGACTTTACAAACAAATTCTAACAGCCATTTCAATGCACTACTTTATAATACATAGAAAAGTACTGCTTCCTTGTTTTCCCAAATACAATCTTACACAATCAAGGTTGGCAAAGCATCGACTTTAAGATGACCACCAAAATTTTAAAAACTATTCCTAAAGTTAAGAAACATTAATGATGCTAGCACTTTTGCTAAATATGTAACATTAATTAAAACATGTCCCACAGCAAATATGCTGCCAACTGTGCTACTATCAAACAGACTAGAAATATCAGGGGAGAAACTAGAATGGACTGTCATTATTTACAAAGGAAATGGGAGCAATCAAATCACATTATTTTTTGCCTGTTTCCTGTAACATAATATATAACATCATCTTTTTTAATGTTTCCCAGAAGACTACTAATTTCTATTTAACTAGATACCTCAGTGGCTAATATAAATTTTCTATTAAAAGTCTATATAACCACTAGTGATATAAGGTTAATTATATCTAAGAGTCAATACCTATAAATTTTCTCACTGTTAAGAGGTCACCTTCTGGGTCACATTCTATGACCTGAGAAAGTGGCATTATCCAACACATCAACAACAGTTCTGTTTGCAGTGCATATGCTTTTGAATTACTTTTTTTTATTTCTTCAACAACCCAGTATCACTGACATGGTTCACTCATTCAATAACTGAGTATTACTTAGTGTCATTTATTTACTAAGTAACTGAATGATTTCGATGTACTTGACCACTGGCACATATAAAAGTTTTGGAGTAGCTTTTTTCGGTGGTTTGGGTTTTGTGAGGGTTTATGTTTTGTTGTTATTGTTGGAGACATAGGAAGAAAGTGATACTGCTGAAAAGTATGAGAGCTAGGATTCTTACTGTCTAACAACTGCAGTTCTACCAAAAACTGGTGTCTCTCACTAGATGGAGATCTGTCGTGGAAAGACAACTCGCTGACAGAAGGCTTCTTAGAAAAAGTCATGGGTCTGCTGCACTGGGACTTCAAAGAGCTTTATGCAGAAACTTTCAGGAAAGACTAGTGAAATTTTAAAACCTTAACAAGGGTCACTAAAGAAGGAGGCTTTAATTAAAAGAGAAACAGAATGCTATATTAAAGGATAAATTGCTTATTAATGTATTATAATAACAATGCTTTTAAAAGGAAGTGTGCATCCATGGTCCAGAATATAAGATACATAATAAATATTTATAAGGGAAATGCATTAGTCTGAATGATTCTTTACGACCACAGGTATAAGTCACTCTCAGTGGCCAACAGTTCTTTCTGATGTTTACACGCATACACTTTGCTGTGGCTGTAATCACCGTCCGTGGTGGGGGAGGTGTTACATGGCGTCAAGTCAGTTCAGACTCATGGGGACTCCTTGGATTAGAGGAGAGCTTCCCCACAGGGCTTCCAGTCTGTTATTTTACAGGAACAGATCACCAAGTCTTTCCCCCATCATCTGTGACCATCTGTAAAACTTCTGCTTTTCTACAGCCTTAAAACAAAGCCTCAGGTTGGCCCAAGGGAAGAAAAAAACAAAACTAACCTAAAATATTAATTCTATTATCAAGGAATTTTAATATACTGTTATCACTCAGCAATTTAATGCCAAGCTACTTTAATAAAGCCTTCCTTAACATATTTTTGCAGCCTTCTCTGCCCACTGTAATGTCATCCCACCTGCTAATAAAACAGCTGTCAGGATATCCTGCTATTATTTTGAGTCCACTTGACAAGCAACTTTTAGAATACCAAAAATCAGTATGAGAAATAAATAGGGGGAAAGGAGCTCCTGGAAGAGAAATAATGGTAGAGAGTCATGTCCAAAGCATGACAGCCGAAAAAGAAATGTTCAGGACAGTGGCTAATCATCAAAAACTCTAGGGCTGAAATGCTATTAAGAAGCAACAGAAGTGGAACAACCTCTGTGAAAGGCAGTGTGGTGGTTCCTCAAAAAGCTGAACACAGAAGACCAACCTACTACACTGCTAGAAATATACTCTGAGGAAAATAACTGAGATGCAAACGGAGATTTGTACACACGCCTTCGTGTGCAGCATTAGTCACAACAGCAAGAACATGGACACTGTCCACATGTCCATCATCAAACGAATGGCTTGAGAAACTGTGGCACATTCACACAATGGAATACTAAACAGCACTCAGAAGCACTCATTTGAAAACTACTGTGTAACATGGGAGAGGTCTGAGGAGCATGCTGAATGAACTAACACAGTCTCATAAGGCCAAATACTGAGCAAGATAAAAGGGTAACTAGGAAGATGTGAATACAGGTCCAAAGGGGGAAGGAGCATGGGCAAGAGGGTAAAGAATGGGGAAAGGTGAAAGTCATGGGGTCACAGAGCAGAAGGAGGGGGTGAAGCAATCAGAAGAAATCTAGTGGGGACCTGCAAAGATGGGGTGATAATGGGTACAGATCAATGGTGAGGAATTTTATAAAACAAAATGTGAATGAAAGAATGTGTGAAACAAAATGTACTAAATGAAATAATGCATACAAATTTTGTATGCAAGTCAATACAAAATTTTAAAGTCGTGGGGTGTGGAGTAGGGGGAAGTAATAAAAGGCAGTCTGAATAAGGCATTATTAGGAAAAACTCAGACTACAAACAAAAGGAATAAACATAATTTAACTTGGGTTTTGGAGAAAAGTACAGGTGTCATGAGAAAATGGAATCAAAAGGCAGCAGGAGGATGAGAAAATTAGCATCACATTATATAATAAAACTACCACTTGTCTAAATTTTCAGGATCATCAAATCTCTAACCATTCATTATAGCATGGCATCAGTATCTTGCTATAATTAATACAAGCATCAAAATCTTGCCTTGAAGACTTCCATAGTCTAATAATTAGAAGCACTGGAATAGTTCTCAACTTTTTTTTACCTCGGGTTTTTTTTTACCCTGTTTCATTATTAAATGTGATTGAGGGCCCAAAATCTTTTGTTTATGTGGGTCCTATTTATCAATATTTGCCATATGAATAATTAAAAGCAAGAAAATTTTTCACTGTCTACTTACTAATTTTTTAATAATAGTATTAAACTTCATGGTACCTTAGGTAACAATATTTACACAGCTAGCTAGCTAGCTATAGATTTCAATTAATAAGAAAATAACATAGTTAATCTCAGTGGCTCATATTAATAGAAAAGTTAGATTTTTGTATGTTCTTTGACATTAAATCCACTGTGTTATGTGGTTTAAAATACATGAGGAAAACTCAGTATTGCACAGATACACAATTTAAAAAGCGAAGAGTTTTCCAGGAGAAATCCTTAGTCCACAGTGTAAGAACCACTGAGATATTAGAAAATCACACTTTCAAAAAAACCCTAGAGGATCCCAAATCCAAGTCAGAAACAAAATGCAGAAAGTGATAAAAACATGAGGTTTTCAAAAATGTTCATGCTCCATGCTGACAGTATTTCTACATAGCAGTATCTCTGAAACTGCTTGGTCATAAAAATCACCAGTCATGGTCAATAAAAAGAATGATCCTTTGGCTCCACTACAAACCACCTAAACAAACACTTCAGGTAGGGCGCTCCAGACCGCACTTTGAAAACACTAAGCGATTCTCAGGGTACTCTGGTGGCCTAGTCAGGAGGGCGCTGCTCTGCTAACCCCAAGGCAGGCCGTTTGAATCCACTAGTTGCTCTGTGGGAAAAAAGATGGGGAATCTCTGGCAGTCCAATAAACAGCCTCTGAAAATGTACTGTAGGGTCAGCTATGCTATTGTTCCAACTCAATGGCAATGAGTTCTTTGGGGCTTTTAAAAATGATCCTTAAAGAAGTAAATTAAACCAGGAAAGCCCCCATGTAAGGAAATCTACTGACACTGGCCAGAATATAGTCTCAATCACCGAATGAAGCAAGATAGTAATAAGACATTTTGATATTACTGGACCCTGATCCCTCAAATGATGTTCATCTGTAAAGCTACATTAAGGGAAACATTTTATAAATGTAGATATTGCTTTGGAAGCGAAACAATAATAAGCTTTTACGTTTCATCACTTACCTGGGTACCAACAGTGATATTTGGCATTGAGGAAATACCAGCACTAGATTTGGGCTTTTTATTTTTAGCTCTAGCTTTCTCTAACATTTTCTTCCTTTGACTAAAAGGTACTACACCCCTGAAAAGAAAGAAAACATAAACTTCTGTCAACAAGGCACCAAAGAAGCCCTTTCAAACTGGCATTACAGATACCATCATTTAAGCACATATATCTGTTCTCTAAAATTTTTTATATAGAGGAACATTTCCTTTTGCAACTTATTTTTCATTTTAACTTATTCCTAAGTTTAATAAATAACTGGGTACGTTTTTATTAAATTTTTAGGATGAAATTTTATTTTAGTCTTTCAAATAATTTTATTCCATTGTCGAAGACGCACACCAATATTATTTCTGCTGATGCACATTTACTAATTAGAAGCTTAAAGCATACAGAGAATAAATTGATATTTCCTAGCAGTACTTCTAATTAAATAAGTCATATTCATAAAATCACATACCTCCATAATCTTTAAAATATTTTTTTAAATTGTATTATTGAAAGAAAAATTAAAATCTGGGATAAATACCTTATTACCTTACTTGCAATTGTGTAAAAGCAAAGTATATGTTTACACATGCAGGAGGAAATTCTTTCCAAATGTTAAAAGTAGTTATCTCTGAGTTATAAGATTGTAGGTAATTGTTTCTACTTTCTATTTTTTTTCTAAAGTTTCTCAGAAATATTCATTAATGCCTTTCATAAACATATAAAGTATGACATAGGGCGAGCTCTGGTGGCCTAGTGGCAGGAAACTGCACTGCAATCCCAGAGGTGCGCGGTTCAAATCCACCAGATGCTCTGCTGAAGAAGGAGGAACAATCACCTCCTGTACCAGTCAGATCCAATTTGACGGTACACACATAAAAAGAATAAATAAATAAAGTATGACATTATGTACAATTAGCATTATTTTGTTAATTTTGGGGGTTGGTTTACTTTTTCATAATTTTACTCCAAAGTGAAATCCCAAAGTCCTCCCTCTATTATAAAGCATTTCCTTGTGACTTATCTTCCCCTTTTTTGGTATTCTACTACATGAAGCATCTATCCATGGACATAAAAGTATTCACTAATGAGAAATTCCTCCTCCTCCATACTCACCACCAATATAAATTGTTCTCGAGCTGAGCACAGGTGTAAAGAGCACAGCAGTGTAAGGAAACAATCCGTTCTCCTTGCAGTTCTGAAAAGGTCTGTGCAGTGTGTTCTAATTTAGAAGCCACAGAACTTAAAGTTTCATCTACCCATGTAGCAACCTACAAAGAAAATACCAGAAACTTTAATAGTAACAAGGAATCTTTTTTAAAAGGACTGAGGTCAACATTAGGGCAAGGCAAACAATCTATAGACTGAAATGCTAAAGTATTCTGAATTATATTAAGCCAGAAAAAAATAATTTCTAAAATTCCTAATAAGACTATAAACTAAAATACTTCTTTCTCACCTATAAATGAAAATGGTAACTACTAGAAATCAAAGTTTACAACCTAAACCTTGCCCATCTCTAACACGTTAATAAAAACTATATGCTTCAGTAATTTGTAAAATAAGTTTTTGTGTCTAAAAATGAACTGATAATCTGAAGTATTTTTTTGAGTGTACACACATATAAACTTTCTCAATCTACATTATCTGGCTTCTCATCGTCTCATCTTAGCATTAGCTTGAATAAATGTCCTTCCCTTAAGTAGAAAAGGAATAAACTAGCTAATTTTAAAAGGAGATGTATTTTTTTTAAATGAATGGATACTTAAAAGAAATTATAAATACATATATTGCTCAGTTATGAAGACAAACAAAATTCTACTGTGTATCTCAACATATGTGAACCTTGAAGAATTTACCATTGACAAACATCTCATACCTTGTTATTTTCTGTAGCTACAGTTGCTCTAATGCTATTTGCAGACAGGAGGACTATCTTTTCACTGGTCAGCCCCAAGAATGTTGCTCGTGGATGGTGTAATGAAGGATTCTTACAAAGGATTTAAAAAGAAAAATTACATTTTGTTTGTTCATAAAGCTATTTAATGAAAGATTTATTATATATCATAAAATAAATACCTGTGCATTTCTGTAAGGCTCAGATTCACTCCACTTCCACTGATAAAGTTCTCCCTTACTGCTGACAGCCAAGAGCTCAGAATACAGGGCCCCAATACAGATGAATTTTGTTCCATCCTATAAAATAAAAGTAATTCAATTTATTAGTAAAAAATTTATAAACCTACTTTCAGATACGATTATTTTCATCACTAGATCAAATCTATATGAAGTCTATGAACACAGGAAATCCCTGCTATCCAAATTTGTTAGCACACTCTAGGAGATCTTTCATACCAGGGTCTAGAATCCTGCTTTCCACTTGACTTTGCTGTAGTCTCGGTAGCCTTTTTCCTGTTCCTCAATCATGTTTACCTTGACCCCCGGACTACTATGCTCTGTATTATACTTTCCCTTCTTATTCATGTCTATGCTCAAATTACTTTCTATGACTACACCAACTACAAAAGTATCATCACTCTACTATTCTAACCACTTACTCTGCTTTCTTTTTCATTCATAACCACTGTCATAATCTCAATATTGACTATTTACTTGAAAATGAGTTTTGTCTTGTTCACTGCATCCCTAGTATTTCATGTGTGAGACATCGCAGGTGCCCAACAAACGTACTGAATGAATTGCACAAGTATAGAAAAATCAAGCTAAGGAGCTGAAGAGGGGAAAGCTAGGTTCAAAGGACGCAGGCTTTTCCAAGCTGTTAAATGCCTATGTTTTGCTTGGTAGGTTAAAAGTTCATTGCTAGTAAGGCAGTATGCATGCAGTAAATTAAATTGACATTTAATTATCTAATGTTAGACAACAAATATAGAAAAATAATATAGAAAAAAAAAATAGAAAAATCTCAGTACCAGTAACAACTTTTTAACACAAGACCAGAATGACTCAGAGACATGACGCTACCTAGAAATCGCAAAGAAAATTTTCCCAAGATTTCAAGTTGTAGTGTTATTGGTATCTACACAACTTCTCTGCTTCAGAGACTTATGGCTCCAGAGACACTAAGATAATGATGCTTGCCATAAAATTCCAATTATATTTGGTCAGATGGATTGTGGGGTTCAGCTATTGCTTGCCAAGACTGGCAGAGACCTATTACGGTAATGTAACAGGTTACGCCTCAAGAATTGTACATAGAGAATGTGAATTTTGATCTTCTCTTTTCCCCACATTCATATTATTTTCAAGTCACTTCTACTGGAACACGAGCGTCACTTTCACATCACTCCTGTCAGAGTAGGAGGGAAGAAAGTAAGTGAAGATCAAATGTGGAATTCTTCAAGTTAGCAAACTCTATATGAAAAGCAGAGATTTCTCTGTGGAAGCTCCAACCGCTCATTTATCTACTCTGACATCTTCTGTTAAACATGAAATAACCCAACCAAGTGAGCCCCAAACCTGGATCCAAAAGTAGGAGAGAAAGAGAAAATTTCTCTGAACTGATTTACTCACCTCAAAAATTAATAATACCTTTAAAGAAAGGTAACTAAATTAGCTAATACATATAAAATACAGAGCATACAACTAGGCACAAATAAATGCTTCAATTCCAATGTAATTACTCTGTTCCTCTAACATGTCTCTTAATCACCAAGATCTCCAAGTTTCCAGAAAATTCTGGACTCATGAAAATACTAGGCTCACCACCTCTCTCATGCTCCCATGTCACAGGAAGACATGCCCTTCCTATTAAAGATAATCTGCTCTGGTGGCCTCGTGGTAAGAAGCTCTATGACAATTTTTTTACTCTACCAGTGATTTACTGCCTCTGAAAACCTGCCCTGCTGTAGTGGTAGCTCTGAGTTGGTTCCAACTTGACCATACACAACAGCAGCATGTATTACTAATGTGACCGCATTTCCTATTCCCTAACAGCCAATCAATTTTCACTCAATACTGCTCCTGATAAAGGGAATTACCAACTGATACATGATGCACATTCGCATTTCCTTCTAACTATCAAACCAAAGCCCCAGGTATTTCATCAATTTAGCTTCTCTTCAAACGAATCAGCATTTAGTTAAAAAGCACATTAACATTTAAAATCTGACCCACCTCATCACCTGTCCTGGAAAACGCCCCCTCTCCCTGTTCAGAGATCACTACTTGGTACTCTTCCCTTCTCTGTTGCGGACTTTCTCCTGTCTCCAGTGCACCACAGCAAGCACTCCCAGCCCAGCTTCCATCACGGGTAACATCTCCGAAACAAAGTCACCCCTCCAAAGCTGTGCCTCCTCTGTACCTGCAGGAAGGACACCCACCACCACCCCCTGTAGTACGAGGTGGCGTCACAAAAAACCTGGGAGTTCTCCTCAATGGCTAGTAAATTACAACTGCACTTGTTTTTCAAATGCTTCTCAGCTTCTTCCTTTCTTCTATCTCTACTTCCACTATTCGGTTAAGACTCTCCTGGTGCCTTATTTTAGCAATTGTACCCCGACTTCTTTCCCTCTATGATGCTAACAAGGTTCACGTCCATGAAATCAAATTGTGCTGGTCTTCTCATATCTAAGGACTCTGTCAGCTTCCTGGTAACTTCAAGATAAACTTTCTAGCTGCCCTCCCCAGCCTTGCTCCTGTCTGCCTTTCCCCCACCCCTCAGCACACTGCAGCAATAATCAACTGCTCACTGTTCCTCAAATGTACCATCATCTTCTGTGAGTTTCCCAATAAGCCTGCTATGTTGGGAGTGCCTCCACATCTTGGTCAATACCTAACTTGAAATGCTGCTTAAATGCATCTGTGAATCTTCTTCTGTATCTCTTAGGCAGTGTCCAATGCGTTCACATATCAGCTTAACACTGATCATCAAAAAACACACTACATAGTATCTGCATTTTCCTTCCCCAATAAGTTCCTCATGGGAGCAACCTCTAATAGTTGCCTCTACATTCTTATAGTCCAGTTTAGCACATGACACATTGTAAGAGCCCAATGATTACGATGAACAAAGAATTGTAACTCCAACTTTCTCAAGCTGTAAAGTTCCAAATCAATCATCCCTATCCCAAGCAAGAGCAAGGCCCATTCAGAAGCGACTTTGCTCTAGGTTTCGGGGATGAGCCAATGTTTTGCAGGGTACTCCTGCGTAAGTTGGCTGAGCCCCACTGGAGGAGGTAACTGAGGCAGCACGCAGGCCCTGGAATCCCTTATAGATTAATATGGTTGGAAGCCACAGCTCCCAGCCAAGGAAAGAGGAGGGGCAAGCTGCTATCAGCACACTTTTTAAACCAAGTGATTTTTATTCTAATTCTGGTTGCTTTTAATTCTTGTCTCTTATTCTTTACTCTAAGTGAATGGCGGATGGGCAGGATTGCTTTCAGTTGGGAGGAAAAAAGATACTTAATCTAGGTTTCAGGCTTTGGGAATAAGAATTTTGAGAACAAACATTAATTCTACTACGTTTGAATAAGAATTAAGGAGTTTGCATGAAAATTAAAACTAAAATCAGATTTGCTTTTCCCAGCTACCCAGTTCAACTATTCAAAATGCTAGATTTGAAACTTCATTTAAATACATTCAACCATGGAATAGGCTTAAGCATATGCAATCATTTCTTCTAAATACATTAATGAATGGACAGCATTAAACTCTGCCTGATTTCTGAAATTTAAATTAAAAAAATTTTAATCACCACAAATTAAAGTATCAATCAAAACCGTAAGGTTTGGGTCTAAGTCTTAAGGAGAATAAGGCTGTTCAAAAATTATGCTATTTGGAAAATTACGTCTTTCTGCAAGTTATCAAAATCAATCAAAATATTGGTTCCAATCTTCACAATAATATTAAGCTCATGTTCTCCATTTATGAAGTAGGCACAGATTTTCTAACTGTCCCATGAAACAAATTCTGCCACCAATGAATTTCAGTTGTTCCAAATTCTTATAAAATTTGAAATGTGTTTTAAATCAGTGCATTTTAAACGTGGCCTATATATACACATAAACATCTGAGAACAACAACAATTACTAACAGCTATCAAGTCATAGCTGACCCTCCAGCAGGTTTCCAGAGGCAGTAAACTGCATGGAAGGTACAGTGTTAGCTTAAAAAGTTGGCTTTTTTTTAGCCATGACCTTAGCCCCCTCTGGTCTCCAGCTACCTTAACTGTAGATACATGGTCTTGCAAATAATTATCAACAGCTGTGGGAGTAGGATAAGAAGGAGAGTGTTTCCCACTCTGGGCAACAAGGCTAGAGAGAGACTGGAGCAAGACCCTTATGAGAGTGAGACCCTGGTGATGGTGGTGACTTTGCAGTGGAGAAACTGTGGTGAAGTGTAACCAAAGGAGCCCTGAGATAAAGGCCATAATTAAAGGTTTTGGTGTTATTGCCAGCTGACTGAAGAAGCTGACTTGTAACTGCACCGAGACAAATCTTGTTGGATGACTGAGGAAACTTGAGGCTTCTTCAATTTGTGTTGCTGAACTGAAACCAGTACTTTTTGTAGTTAAGAAATTGTGTGTACTGCTAATCTGGTTTGGGATAGCTTGACTAAACCTGACTTTGTATTGTGAGATATTCTTTTCCTCACTCACTCCTCCACCTACTTCCCTAATAAACCCCAATCTTGGTACCACAATTGTGAGTCAAGTCTGTGAGTAAACAATGAGTATGAAACGTGGCTGACTGGTAGAAATAGGTGCAGGAGCACAGGGGGTGGCGTGTGTGACCGGGCAGCTGCCTGCGTGCTGCTTTGGATATTATTGATGAGAAAGTTCTTTATGAAGCAGGCAGAAGTTAGATTTGGCCACCCTCATGTTGCACTGGCTCCTTTCAGAGGAGATTATCTTTCTACCACGGAGGTGCTGGTGGATCCGAGTCACTAAAGGCACCTGCACCTATGAGTAACTCTCTACAGACCAGAGCTCCCTAGGAACTAAAAGAGGGGACAGCAAAGGGTGAACACAAAAACACTTGGGAGAATTCATTAACAAATAAGCATCTGTTACAATGCCCTGACAATAATAATCTGAAATGGCTAGTCTGTCCATCACAATTGGCCATCATATTATCCACTTACATCTAGTAATTTTACTACAGTGACCGTACATTTGTATATAAAAAGAGAAAAATGCCGTACCATTAATATTTCAGTAGAATTGTAATTCTATACAA